GGAAACATGAGCCATGTGACTTTACAGGTTACACCAGACCCTTGGCCCTCCTGTTTTTCTGTTCTGCTGCCAAAGCCAAATTTCCTCTTGCCAGTTTCTCACACCTTGGCACCTAACCGACAAATGAAAAGACCAGACACTGAGTGCCTCCCAGAGATGTGTCTGGCCTGTCGCTCCAGCTCGGACTGGAGCAGAGCAGGGGGCGGCATCACGTTCTCCTCTCAGGTATTCAAGCCACAGAGGCCAGGGCTGCTTCACACTGTCCCCGGCCTTCACCCCCTCCCTTGCCCACACACGCTGCATCACTCCACCACATCTGCATTCTTTCCCATTCCAATTCCATTCTGCCTTTTCACCCTGACACTTCCTGATCCAGAGAGTTTTTGTTAGAAGCCCCACAGCATTGGCTTTATCGGCCAAGAGGTGAGTGAGGAGGCAAGAGGCCAGTGAGACCACAGAAAGGCTGATGCAGCAATGACATCTTCTCACACGTGGGCTATGAGGGTGCCACCAGCTGTCAGTCATCTCTTTTCTCTCAACACCGTGACTAAACGTTGGTTCCATTTTCTCTGGTATGAATTCGGGTTTGGTTGGCTGCTCTTTAGCATTGGAAGCAATGAATATGGAGATGCTGCCTTCAGATTCTGGAATCTACTTGTTACAACCATGAAGCCCTACAGCTCACCTATAGATAGGTTTCAATGACTTCACTTTTCAGAGCAATCATAGAATGTCAGAGTTGGGAGGAATTTTAATTTTATAGATGATATACCAAAACATTAGGTATAGGAAAGCTGTCCACACAAAAGCAAGTTGTATAAACTGGATTGGAGAAAACAATACAACTTGTAATGCCCAGAAACCATTAGTTCACATTGGCTAATTATAAATATGTCCTCAAGGCTCTCTCATTCAGATTTGCTTCTTCTTATACTGGCCTCTGCCTCTCACATTTAGAATAGCAAGAAACCACCACTCCCAATATTTACACATACTGTTTTTTTCATCTCTGGAATCTTTTCACGGCTTACAGTTTCATGGAGGGTTTCATGAAGATTTAGCTTTTCCTTTGAACCTGGTTAGCCAGTAAAACAAATATTTTTTCCCCAAAGCACAAATTAAAGAACCTGATTTGTTCCCAGCCATATTCAGAAGCTTAAGAAAAGCTCCCCCATTCCCTAAAGTTTCCATCTCTGTACTGTCAGCTTCAGGATATAGATTTCAAATGGCTATGGGTCAAAAGTGGTGGAGGTGTGGGAAGGCAGATTCAGATGAATTTGAGTGATTAGAATGAGGTCAGGCCAGAAATGCACCTGAGAACAGTTTGCTAATCATTAGTTCTGAGTTTCATCTTCTAGAATTCTTGCTTCTTATATTGGGTCAGGGGAGAGGGTATTATTTAGGTGAAAAAGGAAGAAAGAGAAAACAGAAGAAGAGAAAATTTCACCTTTCCATGGAAATATCAGCAGAAAATCTGTAGACTCTTGTGTCTCTGCTTGTTTTTTCAGTACAGTATTTTTTAATAGACCAAAAGAAAATTTTTATGAGGTAATATGTATGTGAATAATGTTTATAGAAGGGGTATTACATGTTAGTCATTATGGACAATTGTATAAATAAACCTTAGACATGTAAAATATATAAACATATAGAAATTATTTTATAGGGCCGTGGACACTTTTCATATCTTTGTTCTAAAACAGAGAGAGTTCCAGGGCTGGCAGCTTATTTCTTTGTTAGTATATGCCACTGGAAACCCAAAAGTTGTGGTGGGATGTCATGTGTTTGTTTTCTGGTTTTGTAATTTATAATGATCTGAATGGATTACTTTGAAATGTCTGTTGTTTATGTGTGGGTGCTGTTTGCCCACAAGGAGTTATCAGAGATCCTTTCCACATTCTATATCTTAGAAAATCAAAAGGAATTTTCTACTGAGAAGAAAAATACATAGAAGAAGCCTCCACTGTTGAGTAACTCAGATTTGTACCACTGACAGTGTCTCGTAAGTCCAAGGAAATAGACAGCTTAAGATCAAGGTTGTTGTCTCTCACTTAAACACTGGATGTTGGATAACTTTTCTCCTGGGAAGGAAGCACAAATTTTTGTTAATTTCTTTCTTCACGGATTTGACAAGTTCTAGGGGCAACCAGAAGTCATGGCCCTTGAGCCACCTTGCTTCAGGACAACTCTCCACCGTCCGTTTTCCAAGAACCATCCATGTATTAATTCTGTTTGATACGCCGTGATTCATTGGCAGACTCAACGCTTTTAGAGCCCAGAGCCCACTTGTCTGGATTTGTGGCTCTAAAGAAGTGTTAAGTTTGCTCTACCACTCAGGCTGATCAGAAGAAGCAAAGGGAAAGTGGTGGGGGTGGAGGCGGGGCTCCCTTGTGGAGAGGTTCACTCACACCTCTAACCACCTCTGACCACAGCCGAGAGAAGCCCTGGGCCAGTAGCCAGTGCATGATTCGCCATCTACTCTTCACACAGCGAGGGCTCATCATGTGAGAGTGGAGCGGTCACCCCAGTCTCCTTTGCCAAAATTTCATATTGTTCCCAGATATAAGCTTGTGAAACGCAGTATGTGTTTTCGCTCAAAACAATAAAAGAGGTTTATTTTTCACTTAATAGACTCATCCCTCAGGCCTGGTTTTTTTTTTTCAGTAGCTGACTTGGAGAGGGGAGTACTTTATCATGTATTAAATGTCAACACTGAGCCTTTTATTGTTCCCAAAGGGCTTTGGCTGCTGGCAGCTTCCCTGGACATCCAGAAGCAGGGCTGGGAGGAGAGGAGTGACTTTGTCAGACAGGAATTGCCTATTTTCAGTGGGGATGACTGGAGGCAGAGTGAGTGACACTTCCTTTCCACGCTCACCAGGCTGAGTTCACCTCCCTAAAACAAATGCTGGTTTGTCAAACCACAAGGGGCCAAGACAGCCTCTTGGCCAGAAACATTCTCTGCTTGCTTAGTCCACACCCTCAAGAGTCTGACTGCCTGTCACCAGCTAGCTGTGTGGCCTTGGGCACGTTACTTAACCTCTCTGTGGTTCAAGTTCTTATCTGGAAAATGGAACTATAATAGCACTTTCCTGATGAATATTAAGGATTAAATGTCTTAAAATATGTAGAGTTCTGAAACAGTGACTGGCACCTACAAGCACTCAATTCATGTTTTACCACCTTCATAATATTTGCCCTATCCACCAACCATTTATATTATCATTTACTTAATGTTCTTCTTCTAATTAACTTAATTTTAATCTAAAACTTGATAGAAAACTTTATATCCCAACTGTAAATGGAAGAGTATATCATGTACTATGAATATAAGGTAATAGTAAATAGTAATAGTAGCTAATATTTACCAAGTCCTTGCTCCTTTCTGAACATTGAGCTAAGTGTCTTGACTTGTTAAAATCCTCACAACCCTGTGAAGTCAGCACTGTCATTTTACAGAGGAAGACACTGAGGTACTGACAGATTCACAAATTTGCCTGTAGTTACACAATTAGTAAGTGAAGGAGGCAGTTCAGCTTCAGACCCAGGGTCCTCAGCACTGCTCTATGCTGCCACGCTAACAAAAACAAGAGTATTCTACTCACGTGGTAGATGGTGGGTGAATTAGTTTCCTACGGCTGCTGTAACAAAGAACCACAAACTGGATGACTTAGAACAACGTAAATTTATCCCCTCACAGTTCTGGAGGCTGGAAGTCCAAAATCAAGATGTTGGCTGGGCAGTGCTCCCTCTGAAACCTCTAGGAGAAGATATTCCCTTGCCTCTCCCAGCTGATGCTAAAGCTGAAGCTCCAATACTTTGGCCACCTGATGTGAAGAGCTGACTGATTGGAAAAGACCCTGATGCTGGAAAAGATTGAGGACAGGAGGAGAAGGGGGCAACAGATGGTGAGATGGTTGGATGGCATCACCAACTCGATGGACATGCATTTGAGCAAACTCCATGAAATAGTGAAGGACAGGGAAGCCTGGCGTGCTGCAGTCCATGGGGTGGCAAAGAGCTGGACACAACTTAGCGACTGAACAACAACTCCTACCTTCAGGTACCCCCAGGCACTCTGTGGTTTGTGGTAGCACCACTCCAGTCTCTGCCTCCATCTTCACACAGCTGTCTTCTCTCTGTGTGTCTCTACCTCTGTGTCTCGTCTCCTCTTCTTGTAAGGACAATAGCCATATTGGGTTAGGGCCCACCCTACTGACTCATCTTAATTACATTTGCAAGACTATTTCCAAATGAGGGCACATTCACACATACCAGGAGTTAGGACTTAAACATATCTTTGGCAGAAAGGGGTTCGGGGAGGGGCACAATTCAACAGCTGCCCACCTAAGGCTTTGAGTCTGGGGCTAAAGATTTATAAGTACTGGAGAGTTGTTCAAAGTCAGCAACAAGCTGAGGCTGTCTCCTTTATGCAGTCAGGACTGAAGGAGTCAGGACAAAGGAAGGACAGTGCTCCTCTATTACAGTGATGTTTAGGGCCCAGTCCAGGTCCTATGTGATTCACTTCGCTGTACGCCTGAAACTAACACAGCATTGTAAATCAAACATACTCCAATAAAAATTTAAAAGTAATAAGATAAAACAAAAGTTAAATTAACCTTCTTCTGCCCCATCATCGATACTTTGGGAAAAGAGGCTTAGCATAAGAAAGCCATTTAACAATTCTTCCAGCTTCCCAGACATCCCTTGTGAAAGGGGAAGATGGGGGGTGAAATTCAACCTTCCAAACTCCAGACAGGGTGTGGAGGGCACAAAGCTTACCTCTCTAACCTGCCTAACACGGCTGAGCTGGGACAGCAACTTCAGACAAGTAAGTGTCTTCATCAGGGGGTATGTGTGAAGAAAGGACAACAGTAAACACAGTAGTGGGAAACCATTTATTTTCGTACTACTTCAGTGAAAACTTAAGAACAATCTCTCCACCAAGAGGGATTTAAGAGGAGGGTGTGGGGAAGTGAGGAAGGAGGAGTTTTCTTGCTCTATCAAATAAAAGTTTCTTTGGTTGAAGGGGCCGTATAGATTTCATAGAGTTGGGAGGTCCTCACCTTGAGTTCCCGGGCCACCTGGCAGATGGAGCAAGGCCAGCAGCAGTACACTGCCAGCCAGTCCTCACACAGGGTGCCCTAGGGGAGAAACCGCGTGTGTTCTGGGGCCATCACACAGGCTCAGCTCCGCTACCTGGAGACCTCCACAGTAGTACCTCACGGCCCATCCCATCCACTGCTCCCAAGATCCACCACCACCCTGAAGTCATTGCCCACGGACACAAATCCACCGGGGTTACAGGTGCCAAACACCTCGACTGCTAATCAAGCCTTGCAATTCAGAGACCAGCCCTCAGGGCTTCATACTTGAAAAACACTGTCTAACTGACAGAAAATCCTCTGTCAACATCTCTTTTTTCTCTTAGAACTTAATATTTATAATTAATTATTTTCTTTACTTATTTGGAGTAATAAGTATATATGATCCAAAATTCCCATAGTAAGAAGGGAGAGGAAGTAAAAAGTAAATCCCCCTGGTCACCCAGTTACCTGCCAGGAGACAACCATTGTGGGCAGTTCTTATATAGACTTCCAGATAAATTCTAAGTCTAGGCATACAGATATATACAGATATGTACACATTACATTTTAAACATATATATATATATATATATATATATATATATATTCTTTTGCTAAATATACATCTTAGGGATCATTTCATAAGAATAGATAAAAAGATGCCTTTTTATCTGTCCACATCTGAGTAGGTATGACTTGTCTGTCCTCAGTCTCTCCTTGTATCTCAGTCTCAACCACGCTAGAAATTGTCTGGTTCTTTGAAGTGCCCTCAGGGAATCCCCTAAGTGAATTCTGTGTATGCCAGAGAGTCTACGTTTTAAGTGAGATCATCCCAAGTTTGTCCGTCAAATTTGGTGCATGTCTACCTGTCATTATTGGAAAGATTAAGGGCAGGAGGAGGACACGACAGAGGATGCGATGGCTGGATGGCATCACCGATGCAATGGACATGAACTTGGGCACACTTTGGGAGATGGTGAGGATCAGGGAGGCCTGGCATGCTGCAGTCCATGGGGTCACAAAGAGTCGGACACAACTGGGCAACTAAACAACAACAACTGTCTTCTCTTGATGTAATAAGAGAGAAACAGAAGTGGCTCATTGGCCAACAATCTAATTATAATAGGTCTCCCTTAGAAATACCCTCCAAAATGTGGCATTTTGGTTTAATATACATCCTAGTAACAAGTGAAATCAGAAATTTCTTCCCTTTCCTTTCCCAAAGCCTTCCACTATGTATGGTGTTTTTAATATCCTCACCCACACCTCATTTATAAAAATAATCACAGGTTTGAAAGGCATTCATCCAGGTTCTCATATACATACACATCCAAACACACTTACCCATATTTTATGTCTCTCTCTGGTGCCAATTCTCAGTGCAAAGGTGGACCCAGGTAACAATGGCCAACAAAAACACTCTCCATAATGCCTGGCGATGTCACACTCAAGACACATGGGACAAAAGAGACCACAGAAACCTGTCAATAATCACATAAAAGCAAGTCAAGGTTCTCAGAGGTGCTTGGAGCCACTTCACATCTCAAAGAGCATTTACAACCCTATGCCATCAATTTAATGCTGCTTTGTCTCCCTACAATCAGGGATTGAAGATGAATAACCAATTCTCAAAACTCAGTGTATGAAAATTGCCATAACTGAGCCACATCAAAATTGTCTTCTTTTGTTAAACACTGGCGAAGCTGAATCTGCTACAATTCTGTTAACATTCACTACAGTAATTGTTTCTACTATCAAGAGAAAAGCATTAAATAATTTTTATAGTTGAAACATGTGTTGCTTCTATTATGTTCATCTATCTAATTTCAATATTTAAAATAGACACAGTATATAATACTTTTGAATAGCAGGTGTCTTTTTTATATATGTGATTGAATGCTCTTTTATGATACACTGATTCTGCCTGCTATTCTTATCAGGACTTTACTCTATTTCTCAGGCCTGAAGGTTTCTCTAATGTTTGCAGTTTCATGGAGTCACTGACACCTACCAGTTTTAATCTGTAAACTAGCAGAGGCTTGGTTCCTCAAACATGTACTGGAAACAGTTGATCATTTATTCATTCATTCATCTTTAACTTACTGATACCATTCCCTACACATTCTGCATGAACCATTAACACAGAGGTTCTGTTTTAAATACATTTTGAGGTCATGGACCCTTTTGAGTACATGGTGATAGCTATGAACTTTTAAGGGAAAAGAAAAATACATGCACACAGAAATGCAAAATTGTGCATTCAGTTTCACAGGGTTCAAGGATCCATTGAAAGCTATCATTGGACCGCAGGTTATAAACCCCTGGTAAATGATTAAGATGTTAACATCATTGCAAAAGATGACAACATTGATGAATACAAGTAATCTGAACTGTGAAAGAACAAAAAAAAAATTAACCATAACCTTTAAAAATGTATTCAATAAATACGTAATTGAGGCATAATTTATATACAAGAAAATCCACAGATCATAAACATTGAGTTGGATGAGTTGTGACAATCACATTCACCAAAGTACCCAAACGTGTAGAACACTCACCCCAGAGAGCTCCTTTGTGCACCTTCCTGGATGATCCCAGTCCTCCCACCCCACTCCAGACGTGATCACTATTCTGAGTTCTATTACCATTGAGGGGTTTTACCTCTTTGAGAACTTCATATAAGTGGATCATGTTTAGTTTCATAACTGTCTATTGGTCAACCTCGTGTTTCTTGAGATTCATCAATGTTGTTATAGGCATCTATACTTTGTTCTTTTTATTGTTGAGTAGTAATTCCAATGTATAAATGTGCTATAAATCATATATCCATTTTCTAACTGATAATTCCATTTTCAACCTGCCTGAATTCAGGCTTTACTACAAAACTACAGTCATCAAGACAGTATGGTACTGGCACAAAGACAGAAATATAGATCAATGGAACAAAGTAGAAAGCTCAGAGATAAATCCACGCACCTATGGACAACTTATCTTTGACAAAAGAGGCAAGAATATACAATGAAGAAAAGACAACCTCTTTAATAAGTAGTGCTGGGAAAACTGTAAAACCACTTGTAAAAGAATGAAACTAGAACACTTTCTAACACCATACACAAAGATAAATTCAAAATGGATTAAAGATCTAAACCTAAGACTAGAAACTATAAAACTCCTAGAGGAAAACATAGGCAAAACACGCTGACATAAATCACAGCAGGATCCTCTATGACCCACCTCCAAGAGCAATGGGAATAAAAGCAAAAATTAACAAATGGGACCTAATTAAACTTAAAAGCTTTTGCACAATGAAGGAAACTATAAGCAAGGTAAAAAGACAGCCTTAAGAATGGGAGAAAATAATAGCAAATCAAGCAATGGACAAAGAATTAATCTAAAAAATATACAAGCAACTCCTACAGCTCAATTCCAGAGAAATGAACAACCCAATCAAAAAATGGGCCAAAGAACTAAACAGACATTTCACCAAAGAAGACATACAAGAAAAAAAAAAAAAAGACATACAGATGGCTAACAAACACATGAAAAGATGCTCAACATCACTCATTATCAGAGAAATGCAAATCAAAACCACAATGAGGTACCATCTCATGCGGTCAGAATGGCTGCTATCCAAAAATCTACAAACAATAAATGCTGGAGAGGGTGTGGAGAAAAGGGAACCCTCTTACACTGTTGGTGGGAATGCAAACTAAAGCCACTATGGAGAACAGTGTGGAATTCCTTAAAAAAGTTTAAATAGAACTGCCATGTGACCCAGCAATCCCACTGCTGGGCATACACCAAGGAATCCAGAATTGAAAGAGAGACGTGTACCCCAATGTTCATCACAGCACTGTTTATAATAGCCAAGACATGGAAGCAACCTAGATGTCCATCGACAGACGAATGGATAAGAAACCTGTGCTACATATACACAATGGAATATTATTCAGCCATTAAAAAGAACACATTTGAATCAGTTCTAATGAGGTCAATGAAACTGGAGCCTATTATACAAAGTGAAGTAAGCCAGAAAGAAAAACACCAATATAGTATACTAATGCATATATATGGAATTTAGAAAGATGGTAACAATAACCCTATATGTGAGGCAGCAAAAGAGACATAGATGTATAGAACAGTCTTTTGGACTCTGGGAGAAGGCAAGGGTGGGGTGATCTGAGAGCATAGCATAAAACATATATTGTCATATGTGAAATAGATCATCAGTCCAGGTTCGATGCATGAGACAAGATGCTCAGGGCTGGTGCACTGGGATGACCCAGAGGGATGGGATGGGGAGGAAGATGGGAGGGGGGTTCAGGATGGGGAACATATGTACACCCATGGCTGATTCATGTCAATGTATGGCAAAAACCACTACAATATTGTAAAGTAATTAGCCTCCAATTAAAATAAACAAATTTTTAAAAAAGAAGAATACCCTAAGACCAGTCTCTGGCTCCTCATCCCTCCCTCCCTCTTCAACAGTCAGGAGTACAGAGTCCCACTCCCAGTTTCAGTAACAAAGAAGCAGAAATCTAGGAATGCTGTTTTATCTTAGAACCTCCAGGGTATGTGCCTGAATTCTGGACTTCTTCCATTTCATGTAAGGGGTGAGGGAGCACATGTGCACAAAAGGCAAGGCGCTGGAGTGGGAGGAGGACAAGGAGCAGCCTACCTTCCAGGAACAGAAGGTCTATTTCCTCTCTTTCATCAGGAATCTTGAGATAATCTCTAGATTATGTATTGCAGTCATCACTTGGCCCAAAGCAAACACTAAATTCAGCCTTGATTAAGTCTAGGATGTTTCATCCCACATTTAAAAAATCATTACTCCTAGCGAGATCAGCAGGCCCCACACAGCACTGACAACTGGTGTGAACAGGTCAGATGATAGCAAGTGGCCCATGAACTTAATGTGAGTTCAGAGTGGTAATATGGTATGTAGCCCTGATTTAGGGAACTTTGAAATCATGGTACATAGAAGTCAACCAAAACTCATTTTATGCATGAATTACAAAATACAGTAGTGTGTATCTCTGCAAATAAAAAATTAATCAAAGTTGCATAATTATAAAGCTGGCAAGCTAAATGAGTAATAAATTGTGTTTATACAATTGCCTGCCCGTACCACTTTAATTGACAAAGAAATGTCCACCATCCTTCAAAAGCCTTTTGTAAAGATGTTGTTTTGTGCACTGGAATTCTTGTACCTTATTTTTATGACTCATATGTCTTTTTAAATAACACATGCTGTTAATTTTATTTTTAAGGTTTCCCATTGTATAGCCACGTTATCTTAGTGTTCGTTATGAGGCAGTAACAGATACTGAGGAAACACACCCAAAATTCAATTACCTTGGGACAGAAGCCAGATATAATAAAAACAAAGCACTATAAAAGCCAAAGTTTTATTACATAATAGCTGGTAATAATATAGATTTTACCATGTGCCAAGCCCTGCTAAAAGTACTTTGCATCTATTAACTCACAATTCTTACAACAATCCTATAAAATTTACTCTTACTAGGCCCATTTTACAGATGAGCAATCTAAAGCCCAGAGGATTTAAGCTATTTGCCCAAGTTCATACATTTATTAGGAAGGCGCAGAGGCCACGTTTGAACTCAAATAAGTCTGACTCCAAAGTCTCAACAACTACACATAACACATATGCCATATGTTCTCACGTTTTATATATTTATCTAGTAAACAACTGTGGGGTTGTGTGTTCCAAGACAGTGCCCTCACTACCACCACTTGGTATTTATTTCTGTAGGACAGGCTGAAATTATGCAGCTTCTTTAGGAAATGAAAGATCCTTGCTCAGGGCAGGATGATGGAATCCTTTGTCTGAAGGAGACTCTCAGAGGAAATTCTGCTACCTATATCACAGACCAAGGTTTAGAATCCAGAATATATAGAAAACCTACAAATCAATGTATAAAGGACTAAACAAAAGAAGAAAATGAACATAAGATGCAAATAGGTAATTCACTAAACAAGAAACACAAATGGCCAATAACAAACATGAAAAATTGTTCAACATTATTAGTAATCAGGGAATTGCATATTGACAATCAGAAACCATTTACTACCAATAAGAATGCCAAATTTTTCTTAATTTTTCAATATCAAATGTTGTGGGACACCATAGAGAAATAGGTACTCCCCATACAGATGGGAGTGGAAATTGGCAAAGTCACTTTCAAAAGCAACTTGGCTGAATCAAGTAAAATTTTTAAATACTCTGGGCTCCAGTAATTCCACATATAAGAGTAATGCTTACACATGCACACAAAGAGACAGGTACAAGGATATCCAGTGCTGCATTATTTGTGACTTAAAATTTAAAACAAGTGTACATTGATAGATGAAAGCATAAATAAACCATGATGGTGTAAATCATACTAGGGGATGATTAAGAATGCAGTAAAAGATAAATTAAGTAACAACAGGGATAAATCTCTAAGATATA